AAAGGGTGATGTTTGGTATGAATTTTGGTAATGCTTGAAGGATTCAATAATGCTTGTGTGGGTGTGTAAGCAAAATTAGTGTTGTTACATGAAAAATAAAAAGCCTGGGATTGTTGTATGTGGGATAAATTTTGGTCAAGAGAGATAATTTTTCGTGGGTAATTTAGAAATCTTATGGATTGTTCTTGAATTCTCATGAAATCTATGGGTATGAGTAAATATAAGAAAACGTAATTTTATGATTTTGTAGAAAATTATGCACATTCAAGTGTATTTTTTAAAATTTTATAACTTTATGAGAAAGGTTTAATTTGAGAGTACTTGGCTCAAATAAATAAATATTGTTTTAACGAATTCAAGAAGACTAGCTCAAATCAATCGAGTAGATAATTATACTTGATACAAATGGATTACTTCACTTGATTTGAATCGATTATTAAACTACTAGTTTAGTCGATTCGAGTAGATAATATTACTCAGTGTAAATGAATTATTTCATTTGACAAGATATAATTACTAAACTTGGTTCGAATAAACCAATTCGAGTTCAAGCGGTATTATTTATAATACTCGAGTGGAATTGTAAATATTAGGTGCTAGGTCCGGAAACAAGTCCTGCAAGCCGAGGAATCATCTACGAGATAGGACTTTCCGCAAGGTAGGTGCGCTAACCAAGGATTGAAATATCGTGTCGACACGTTCGAAACTTCCGAAACGTTGCGGATTTTCCACACACCGACACGAAACAAGGGTGGAAAACTAAAATTCCTGCGTTTTGAGCGAAATGTTACTGTTTCAGACTGTTTTGATCAAAACAGTAATGTTTCGGTCAAAACAGGGACTTGATTCGACTTGCAGTGTCCGGACTCCAGACTCCTTCAGCCAAAAAGGGGAGAACTTCTTCCCCTTTGACAGCTTCTCCAACAAAATAGAAGAGAGAGAGATAGACAGAAGAGACAAGCTCAAAAATCGAAAGTAGTAGATGACTTACCAACTTACAAGGGGTCGTCCTCGCGTCCAAATCCAACCTCTTCCAGGTACAATTTTATTCTTTTCTCTTCTTCTCTACCGGTGGCTAGTGATGGGTCTTCATCGATTTGTCTTCTCGCTCTTCATTGATCAGTCTTCATCGATCGGAGTCTCAGATCTTCTTTCTCTCACAGTTGATCCGAGTCTTGATCTTCTCTCTCTCTGTATGGTCTGTGCAATTGGAATGAAGGGGTCACCAATTCACTGTTTGCCCTTTTTATTTTATTTCAATTAACATAAATGTCATTTCAGCCCCCATTTTTCCTTTTGTAGTTGTTAATAGCCCTTATAATTAATAAATAATTTATTATTGTTAATTAACTTATCAAAATAACTGCAATTAATTTTATGGTATATTTAATATCTAAAATTAAGTATTTATGTTTGTAAAAATTATTCATGTAATATTTTTAATATTAATGAAATAATTACTTAGTAATTTGATGACACAATTTAAATAAGTAATTTAGTATTATAATAACATGCAAATAATAAATTTGTACTCATTTTAATTTAAAAGTGTTATACATGTCATATTTAATTTAAAATGGTCATATATACATGTAAAAATGTATTTGTTTTATAAAAATTAATTGTTTAAAACTAATTGAAATAATTTCCGCCTCGTGTCAAACCTCTTTTTTTTTACCTCAAACTTGATGTTATCTTATATAAATTGGCATTAACCCAATAAACATGCTCAATTAATCAATTATTAAGCTTATCTTTACAAATAAATAGATTGTATTTGTATTTCCACGTGTTTCCATATTTTGTTCGTGTTTCCATTGCGTTTCCGAAATGTTTCTGTTTTCGGGCTGACCAAAACGGTACTTCGAAACAAAATTTCGATCATTTGTGCTAACTTACATAGGATAAGTTTTTTGACCACTCTAATATTGTGTTAATTCTCTAAACTTAACAAAGACTATCAACATTGCTCAAAATCCACTTCAACATGATAGAATCAAACATATTGAGATTGATTGGCACTTCATCAAAGGAAAGTTCAACAAAGGGTTTAATTTGCATCCTCTTTGTTGAAATCAGAAAATCAGTTGACTGATGTTTTCATTAATGGAGCTTAGTAGAAGATTTTTCACCCCATTGTTTGCAAGTTGAACATGAGAATATCTATGCACCAACTTTAGGAGTATTATGATATGCTTTATTTGTTTGGGCTTAAGGGTATTTTTGTACTTGGTATTTATATAAAAGCTGGGGTAACAACAGTGGGCTAAAGCATTAAATTCAGCATATGAGAAATGTTTGTAATAAGAAATGTTTACAACTCAGTGTCATAACAGGAAATAAAGGTAAGCATCTAGCAACTAATACTATTGTGTTATTGAAATATCAAACAAAATCATAATGCAGATTTCTTGATAAGATACTCAAAATGCAAGTAAAATTATCTCAAATCCAAATAGTTACAAAGCAGAAGCATTTTAATGCCCTATAAAACCAATTGCTTTCATTTTTCCTTGTAGATGACAGTGACAACAGAATTCCTTTAGTATGTTGGGGGCCTTCAGGCATAGGTTGTATCACAGGGTCATTCACTGAGGAGCATGAATGTAGTCTAATGTGAAATTAATTTGCTCACCTTCCAACAAACAAGATGCTTTTCCCAAAATCAAGCAGATCTCGTACCATGTCAATACTACCCCTAACTGCCCTGCCAACTCGACAAGTTAAGCCAATAATTTCACCTTTCCTACTTCTGATTGCTGAAATCCGGTGCAAGGTACCCGTAATGCCAGCTCTATTATCAGCTCCGAATTCTCCAATTGCATTTTGAGCAAACTCCAACTCTTTCATTGATACCTGGGTAATAAATATGCCTCGAATTAATCACTAAATAATCTTCATGCACCAATAGTTTATATTGCTTTCCATTCCTTTGTATAATAGTTCCAATATGAAAAATTATAAAATCTAAAATAACCTTGAAGAATGAAAAGAAATGAAAATTCCTGAATTAAGTCAGAAAAAAAATAATTTATGTGATTCACTGACAAAAAGGAAAATGCTGTACCAACTTAAAAGTGTTTACCTCGGTATCTCTCAAGTACTGCTCTCCAGAATCACCAAGGTAGCGTGCTTCTGGTAACCGACCCAAATCCAAGATCACCTATTGAAACAGTAATGATCAATTATTATGCAATATAAGACCAACAACCAAGCAAAATAGTTTGGAAGAATCATAATATTTCTTGATGATGCACTTTAAAAGAACTCTAATCCATCAAAAGAAGAACACTCCAGACTGACTTTAAATGACACTATCGTTCAATTTAACCAGTGTCAACTCCCATGTGAATCAAACCCAAGTAGACATGTTAATGTGATAATGCATACTGGAATTTTTATCATTAAACATTTAATAACTCTAATTACCTCTATAGAACTAAAACTGGAAATTTAGTCTCCAAATACAAATTAATCTCTCAGTTTAAACATTGTAAAATTTATGTTATTATTTGTCAATCTCCAATTCTTCAAATATTCCAATCCTGATCTCTCCCCGAAAACCAAAAAAGTATTAAGCATGGAAATATACAATACAATAGAAAATAATATGCTCAGAATAATATTAATATAAGCATCAAATCAAACTGACAATTTAACTAAGTGCGCAACACAAGTCAAATAGGACCTCAATAGGATACAATCCTCAACTAAATCGTACTCCATGTATCACACGCCATGAGAGACCAAGACACAGACCTGGCACCTCACCAAAAAACCCACTTCAACTCGATCCCACGAGTCTCTTAGACTGGTGATGCATTAGACTTTCGACAACCATGATCCAATCCTTAATCCACACAACCCACAATCAACATACTCACAATACCAATAGAAATTCAATAAGATTTTAATAGTTGAATCGAAGGCAATATAAATGGGGAATAATCAAGAAATTACTCTTAGCAAAAAGATTCAAGACAAAGCATATTGAAAGTCATACCGTAAATCAGATAACAAAGCACCAATTGATTCTTGACTCAATCTCAAAGATTCTCGTTGATTTTTCCCTCCTATTTTCTTTTATTGTTTTTCCTCTCCTTTTATTAACCACTAGCTGCCACCTCCTTTTTATACCATTCCTTCACACGTTAAACACACACACACACACACACTATACTATGTCACCCACTTTGGACAAGTGTCCCACAAGTGCTTTTTTTTTTTTTTTTTGTTTATTCTTATCTCATGCACCTACATTGGAGACATGCGTCACCATGACTAACCCAAGTTTATTCAAATAATTTTTATGTTCCCTCATATATTACAAGTATTTTGTGACGCCCAAAAATAACATTCTTCCAGTTTTGATAATAAAAATTTGCCCATTCAATTTTTTAGTTTTTTTCCTTGATGTTATATACTCCCCTCTTAAAAATTTTGTCCTCCAAATGGGCAATCAGCAAGCTAAATGCTTCTGCCAGTATTGCATTACTACTTCCATAATCTGATCATCCTACGCAATTAAACTAGGAAAGTCTACAAAATTTCAAACACATGCTTTGATACTATACTATAACGCTATGATTTTCTTGAAACGTTTTGTGGTGAAATATCAAAAATTATAACTCCAGGTATGAACTTTCGCACTTTAATTATAGGCTAAACAATGAAAATAATATTAGGTTTAGAGAAGGCACAAGCAAGAGGAGAAAGAAGGTAGAGTGGACAGAAAGAATAATCCGTGTGTTTTGGTTGTGTTGCCCTACACCCGGGGGCGGAGCCAGAAAATTATTTCAGGGTGAGCACTTTATATTTTAACAAGCTTAATTTTTTTCTTGTAATTGATAAAAATAGAATAACGCATTTATATTTAATTATATCCTATTTAATACTTAAAAGTTTATTAAACTTAAAAGACTAAAATTGCTAAATATAGTAGATACAAATGTCAAAATATATATGTATATATATATACACATCATTTTACCAAACAAAGGCTAATTAAAACTATTTAAAATTGACTTTGATGTATACATTAAAAGTCTTGCATTAACGTTATTATTATTTATATTCCCAATCATATTATCACTTGGCTATTTATCATTCATTCGATTACACAATAAAATATATTCTCTATCATGTCGGTGATAATTACTAAAATAAATGTTAAAATTATAAGTAAACTCATGGATATATCATGCATTTTCTACTCTTGATTGAAAAATAAAGTGGGCACAATTTAATATATTGAAAAAATACTTAAAATATATACAATTAATTTTAGAAAAAAAAAAATTTGAGGGTGAGCATATGCCCCCCTTGGCATAAGGTGGCTCCGCCCCTGCCTATACCTTATTTAAAACAAATTAATATTGCAGGTAATTACAATATTGCCCTAAACTACTAATAACAGAAATAACAAACTCTAACAATCCCCCTCAAGCTGGAGCATAAAAATCTAAGATGCCCAACTTGTGTAAACCCCCACATTTTTATCTTTATATAACAACGTAATTATGTTTTGAAATGCTATTATATGTAATGATGTATGCATGAAATATGTAAATTGTAGGAGTAGAAATAAAAATGTTAGTTGAGGTAATAGGGTATGTTATAGAAGTTTGGAAGTATGTCGGAGTTTAAACACATTTTAGATAAAAATTGGGTAGAAATGATTTTGGACACTGCCTAGTATTTGGATCATAACTTTTTATCCTGACGTCTATTTTATCTGAAATTTTTACAGTAGATAGTAGACTTCTAGAGTTACAAAAGTGTGTTTCACAAAAAAATTTCAGATCGATCTCTAAATAGGCCAAAACTTCACTGGAAGTTCCAGCAGAAACTGGGAAGACGTTCGAACGTGAATGGACGTTCGAATGACAGTGAGTTCCAGTACTTTGGTGTATGCAAAGCTCTAATAGAAATGCAAAAGTACTGGGAGCAACCAACGTTCAAACGCCAAAGTGACGTTCGAACGTGAGTCAATAATTTGCACTATTGACGTTCGAACATGAGTTACAAAATCTGAATTTCAGAATCGCGCACAGGACACCGTTTCTTCCCCTATAAATACATAAGGACTCCTCCATTAACCCCATTTCAACATTTATAACCCCAGGAAGTCTCAGAAAGGAAGAAAGAAGGAGAAAAACACAAGATCAAGGAAGATTTTCATATTGAAGTGGATCAAATCTCAAGTTATTCACCTAAAACTAAAGAAGAAGGTTGGGGTTTTCTTCCACTCTTATTCATTGATGTTAGGGCTTATATATACATATGTTTTGACTCTTAATCATATATATTTGTTATGAAATACTTGTTTCTTGATGTTCTTGCAAACCTTACCATATTTTGAAGGAATTTATGGTTTGATAACCATAGAAATTCATGTTCTTGATGTCAAAACCTAGTTTTGAGAAAAATAAATTTTTCTTCTTGATATTCTTTTGTTCATGATTCAAAAACTCTGGTGCTTTGCTTGGAACAATAAAAGTCTATCTTTGGATGATCTCTTGCTTATTTTTTTGAATTGTTATGTTGGAAAAATATCTATGGAATTGGGGGTTTATGATTTACTTGTGATTTGGAAAAATACTTATGAAATTGAGGATTTTGAATTTACTTGTGATTTGAGAAAATAATTGGTATTGCATCTCTTGTATGGTTGTTATCATAGACTTGAATTGCCTCCGAGAACTGTCGTACAGTGTTAGAGGTTAGTCTACCCCAGTGGGGGTGAGATTGTTGCCTAACACTTGTAACGAATTGTTATTTGTGAAAGCAACCACTATTGTTCACGTAAATTTAAGGCTGAAGAATGATATACTTTTCCTTAGAAGGATTCGTCAATACTGTGGGAGACGGTATACGCCCTTCTTAAAGTGGTTTGTGTGGATATGATAGGTAAACGAGGTAAATTTGTCATGTAGATTCATGGGAAACAACCAACATACATGAGAATATGGGATGATGCTTTTGAATGATTAATTGATTTCTTCAATTCTAACATGTTTATTTGTTTCATTTAACTTATTGTTGCTGCTGTAACTTGAGATCGAATAAATTGTCACTGTTTTATTTCAAATTATATATGATATTTTTGAAAGTGAGACTGAACTGTTTTATATATTTTCTAAACTTTGTTCGAGTTTGGGAGGATGTTGCTTTGGAGCTTAGTACTCACCCCTTACAAACAATATTTATTCTCAAATTTCAATTTAGAGGAAGAACTCAGAGGTGATGAACAGGTAGCTTGGGAAGCGCAAATGGATAGAAGCGTGGATCCCAAGGGGGATGTCTAGAGTTGATCTCTCCATGCCCTAGTAATGTTTGACAACTTTGTAAAATAAAAATAGGGACTGTTTAGGGGCTGTGAACAGTAATTTTGGCTAGGAATCACTCCTAGGGTTCCGTAGGCATCACACCTAGGGTTAGAATTGCATCACACAACTCAAGAAATATGTAATTACTGAAAATTCTAAATATCTCTCTTTCTCTATTATTAAAAGTAACACTAACTATATATAGAGTTCTAAGTAATTCTAATCCCAAAAGATTGGAATTCCAAAGTCTCTAGAACTTCAAAGACACTAGGTCTCTACAAATTAGAAAACTAAAATTAACTAAAACTAAGACTTTATAAATTCTAAAATATTCAATACTAGAATTTGACTCAAAAATATGACCTATTCCATAAATTCTAAAAATTACAAAAATACCCCCGACACTAAAAAATATTAAAAGGACATATAAAATATTAATACTAGCAAATTAACTTAAAATAAAAATGCAAGGTTTTATATGAATCTTTGTCTTGATGGAAAGTCAATTTTATTATCTTTCACAGTTTCGAATTTGTGTTTCCTTGAGCATCTTATGGACTGCATCATTCTCCCCTGGTTGGAGAAAACTCGACCTCGAGTTTTAAAGTGTTGCAGTATGAAAGTCCAAAAACTTGAACTTGTATGCGTAGCTGTCTTTGAGAAGCATTAAGATGATGTCTCATTTTCTTCTCTAATAGAGGGAACAAAGAAAAAATTTGAAAAGATCCCCTTGATTGTGTCGTTGAAATTTTCTGGAATGATAACATCAATTGGTGGAACAAAGTGGATAGAAAGAAGCATTGGTGACTCTTCATGTAGATCCTTGAAAGATGCAAATAAATCAAGCTCTTGGAACATCATTGTTGGTGGTTGAAAGTCATTAATGGGAACAATTTCACCAAGCCACACTTTTAGCACTATTTCAGAGCTCTTAGGTAGTAACATACTCATCTCTAAAGGCTCATTTGATTCAATACTAGTTACTGGATTTTCCATCTTGTCAGGCTCCACAACAAAAAAATTGTCTGGATATTAACTTTTTACCTTAGCCTTTGGACAAGTAGCGTAGTTGCTTGGGATTGTATTGATTCTTCTACTTGATTTCCTTCTTCTTGAATTATTCATCAGTTGTTGCTTTGGGCTGCTTTTGATGTCTTCTCTAGTTGCACATTAGAATCTAAATAACATTGAATTTCACCCTTTTGCGAAGAAGAAACCCTTGATGTACTTACTTGGTGAAGAAAATTTAGGTACATCTCCGTACCAAGTACCACTTGGAATGCATGCTCTACGTTGTATAATGGCTACCCAAGTATTTCTGCCTTTATATTTGCTCTTCAACCAGCCTTGAATCGAGCAATTGTTTGGCAAGGTTCTTCTACGATATGGTTTTTCAACATTAGGTCTTCGAATCTTTGAATATACTCTATAAAAGATAGGTTATCTTGTTGCAGATTAATAAGTTGTTTGCACAACTAGCTACTATAGTTTGAGGGCATAAACCTCTGTTGAATCTTAGCTTTCATCTTTTGCCAAGTGTTTATAGGAGGTTGTCCCAATCTTTTTATATCTCCTTCAACACCAAACCACCAAATTTTTGTCAAGCCTACAAGTTTCATCTTGGCAAACCTTACTCTCCTATTATCTGAGAAATTATACCTAACAAAATAGTTCTCCATAGAAACAAGCCAACTAAAGAATATTGTAGAATCATCTCTTCCATAAAAATCTTGGATCTCCATCATCATATATCAATATTTAAGCCGCATAACATAGGATTTTTCGGCTCTGATACCAAACTAATGTGGATCAACTTTGTAAAATGAAAATAGGGACTGTTTAGGGACTGTGAACAGTAACATGAACAATAATTTTGGCTAGAAATCACTCCTAGGGTTCCGTAGACATCACACTTAGGGTTAGAATTACATCACACAACTCAAGAAATATG